CCTTGAGCTATGTTATTTTTAAATTGCACCATTAATTTCCACTATGGATGTGCAGATGAGATGAGATGAGGGGGAAAACGTGATGCTAATTTGATTGACATTGAAGATGTGAATCTGAACCAAAGAATTTTTTTTTTCTTCATAGGAGCATCACCTCCAACATGTTCCTTGCTCATTGCTTGTATTTTAGAGTCAGCACATCTGTCTCCATCAATGAAGAACTGTAGCCTTTAGGTGGGCATCAGGGTGCTACTGATTTGATCTCTGCTCTCTACCGTGTTTCCCTTTGTAAGCTGGCCAAAAGGGAATGGCCAGGCCTGGGATGTGGTAGGGCTCTTGAAGAAACAGGTTCTGGGTAACTCACATGGGGGATCTGAGTCACTTTTTAGGGCATCTGCCAACTTCTGCATAACCTGCAAAGCCATCACTATAAAGATCCTTGACTGAGGAACTGTGCTATGACTTCCCACCTGACCAGCCTTAATCATGTCTGAAAAGGACAGATGACGCAAGAAAAGTGGCACACACATATTATGAGAAACCACAGCTGATTGTCACAGAAGATAACTGTGTTCAAGATCCAAACACCTACCATGCATTTTTCCACTCTGGGGCTGGTATAAACTGGCCAGTTTTTCAACACAAGCATTGTGTCAGGTTATCCAACAGCAGAAGAACTAGAACTTCCTCCCTATTATAAGTGTCCCATATTCCTTATCTAGATAATAGTGAGTTTTATGCATGCCCAAATAAATATTATGAAAAACAAAATGTATGCAAACTGGGTATTTTATAAGGTCGTATTTTCTGAATGCATGCATCATTCAAGACCTGCTTTTATGGTTTGTCAACAGGATCACTCCATAAAATATATTTTGATATCTCACAGCTGTGTACAATTTATTCTGTCTATCCATGTCCATGTAGCACAAATAAAATTTTTATTTGCATCATCTAAAGAAATACCAGGATATAAATACACAAGAAAAACTCATCAGAAACACTCTTCTGACTCTAGATACTGCTGAGGGGACACTGTGCAACCAATTAAGAAGCTGAGAGATGGCTTCATTATCCATGTACATAGATAATAAATATTGTGCTCAGCAAATAGGGCAGTTACTCAATTTCTTAAAAGGGTTGCACAACATCCCACAAATGCTGGCACTCTTTGCCTTCAAATTCTCCTGGGAATATTTAGAAATAAAGCTTCTTCAAGGAAACCATTTGAGCCAAAAAGGTCTTCTCTTGTTTTTCATATTAAGGGGCTAGAATATGTAGGTGAAAAAAGAAATATTCAGTGGTTAGACTATTTTGCCTTCAACGGAGCAATTATGTTTTTCTCTGCCTCCAAGAACCTTAGGAAGAACTGATCCTGGGGATTCAGAATGCTCTTCCCTTTTTTGTTTTGTTTTGTTTTGTTTTGTTTTGAGACAGGGTCTCACTATGTAGCTAAGACTGATCTGGAACTCACTATGTACACTGTTCCAGACTGGTCTCGAACTCACAGGGACCCTCTTGCCTCAGCCTCCTGAGTGCTGGGATTACAGGCGTGCACCAACACGCCTGGCTTTATGTTTGATTTGTGGAGCAGCCTCATCAAGCTGGTGGTCCCACTGAGGGCTGCCTAGCAGCTTCAAGATCAAGCTTCTACTTGCTTCAAGAGCAAGGACATGCACTAGTGGTTTCAGTAGAAGACCCGGGTTTCATGTACAGTCTCCTCCTTCCTCAGGTTCTCAAGCAAGTTGTAGAAAATGCAAAGAGCTTTCCTCCAGGTATCTGAGGCCTGAGTGAAAATCTTCCAGACATTTTGGTTCTGTGGCTGGAATGCATATGGTAACATCCCATCCTCCTGTTGCTGAGTATAGGTGGTAGGGGATACATGAGATCAGTTTTAGGTATTATCCTCCACTCCATTTAACGGTCCATGAGACAACTGGGTCTGTGATTAATTTAACAATTTATTTGTGTTGCAAATTTAACTCGGATCTACCAGGAATAGCTTATAATTCCAGTGTTTTTTTTTTTTTAATGTGGCAGGATATCAAGATGTTTGTGATTGCTTTATTGACAGTTTTATCTGACTTTTTGAAGGGTGCCATTGTGGCTGCGATAACTCTTGGCATATGGCACAATGTTCTGTGGTCTAGGGGGATGTCTAGATGGATTTCCACTTTTTATTACATAATTGCTGGCAATCCACAGTGCTCTTCACCGAACTCGAATACTGTGTCGGCTCCCTTATAAGTGCAATTAATTTCACTTCGCACTCTTGCTCTGGTGCAGCTGCATAACTGGATCGGACCCATTCTAACATGTGAATCCCAAGGGTTCTGAGCAGGAGAACCAGATGTTGTCAACTCTTCAAGAATGATGCCATTAATGCCAGTTGAGTCTTTCTTGGATGATGTTCCTGGGCATGCCACTCTCTGCCTACTTGCAGAAAACCCTGCCTCTGCTGACATGTTCTTCCAGAAGCTCTGTGGAGGTTGAATGTTTCTCTTCTTCGGGTCTTAGCTCACGTGTATCCTATCCCCCCAAACAACCAAAAAGAGGCTTTCCTGACTTATCTATCAACATTGCCATTCCCACGCACTATTTCACACTATTTTTCTTGTTAATTTTTATCTTGAAATAATGTTGGATTTGAAGGAGAGTTGCAAGTGTAACACAGAGCTTCCCATAGTCATCTTCCATAGCACTTTCTGCTCCCTGAAATAGTCTTACATGTTGAATATCCCTTAACTGGTCCCTTGGACCAGAAGTTTCAGATTTTTTATTTTTTAAAGAAATTTTTGAATTATGTATGTTTACATATACATACTGAAATATCTTTTTGTTGTTTTTTGTTTGTTTGTTTGTTTGTTTTGTACCAGGGATTGAACTCAGGTCCTTGTGCTTGCGAGGCAGGCGGCAGAACCACTGAGCTAAATCCTCGGCCCCATACTGAAATATCTTCACAGTAGCACTCAAGTCCAAACACAAAATTCATTTTTATTTCATATATATTTCATATGCATAGCCTTATCACTGACATTTTTTAGTGTGCCTGTATTTTGAATACAATCTGCCACAAGAAGTCAGGTGTGAAATTTTCCACTAGTGGTATCATATATTGGGCTCAAAAAGCTTCATATTTTAAAACATTTCAGATTCTGAATTTTCAGATTAGGGATGCTCAATTTGGGCTTGTTTAGTTGTTTGGTTGTCTGTTTCCAGACTACAAGATTGTCAGTCATGTGGTGGTACAGCTTTATCTGCATAACCTCTCCCAGATGTACAGGACTGAAAGAGTGGAGAATTCTAGGGTGAAGTTGTTTAAGAGATGAGGGTCCCTGTGGTGTGCACTGTCCCCAGGTGACAATAGTTGGTGCTGGCCGGAAGCAGACAGAATAATCCTTTTGAATGGAATGCCTCTGGTCGACAGCGTGTCCTCCACAAGGCAGGCAGTTCATGAATTCTTGGAGAGTGAGTGAGCAAACACTTTGGCCAGCAAGGAGGCAGGTACCTCTAACCAAGCCCCTGATGTACCACCTGTGAGCACTCTGACAGACGTGAACTCAAGCCATGCAAGGAACCTTACTGACTGTAGGTCCCCAGCCTGCCAGTGGCTGCCCCTCTACGTGGCCATTCCTTTCTTTCCAGCCAGCGCTTCACTGATGTTTACGATGTCATCCCTCTGCTGTCACTGTGGGGATACCCATCTCTCACACACAGGTTCATGAATATGTGAATCATATTGGTCCAGAGCCCTGCTCTCCCTACCCTCCTCACTCAGCCCATGACCATGGTTTTCTCTCTCCATCTTCCTACATGGCCAAGAGACCCAGCTCACCCATCCACCCCGGCCCTGTTCCTGACTTTCAGTTCATCCATTTTTGTTGGCTCTGCTGTCAACAAATGGGAGTCTAGAAAGTCTTATGACCAGCTAGAGTATTTTCTGGAGAGGCTGGGGCAGGCAGTAATGCTCCATAGTAATCCTTTCATAACCTGACTGCAACTGCAGACTCCCACACTGAGAATGATAAAATGGTGTGGATATAAAAGTATTTGGGGAATTATAAAATGTCTAGGATTAAAATTTCAATACCATTTGTGCCTAATAAATATGGGCTCTTTAGTAACCTAAAACTGTGCTATTATGACTCAGGCCTGAAAATTATGAGTCCTGGTTGAAGAAATGGGAATAACGTCTGAGGGAATCTGGTCCATCCTTTACCTTGAGGGCTACACTGCGGTCACAGCGAATAGCAGGAGTGTGACCTCATAGGAGAGCAAGCCTGGAGAAATGACTGTATTTGTTGAGAAAGCGATACACTCTCCAGAAGAGAAAAATGTTATCCTTTCCACTAGGATTGTTTGTGGAAGTGGCGCTGAGTTGAACTGTGTCAGTACAGTAACTGGTTTGACAGACAGGGCTCAAAGAAACAAGAGCATGTAACAGTTTATTGAATGACTGGATTTTTTTCTTTTTTGCATAAGCCAGTCTAGTCAGACTGAACTGGCAAATTCATTTTGTCTAGAGAATCACTTACTGAGGCGCATAAAATTAGACTTTGTATGTACGGAGAGGAGATTTGGCATTATGTTTTAACAGATTCACTGGGACTTAAGTAAATGGAGTTAGTCTTAATATGGTTAAAGCCTGGAGACTTTTAATAGAGAACTAATCTTAGGGAAAGCATTAATTCATCATTTTAAAAAATCACTTCTTGTGCTTTTCTGTTGCTCGTTGAAGGACTGAATTGTATACTTTGACTACGATAATAACCCAGTAGGATAAAACAATTTAATTTGTTTTCTTTAAAGTACGGTATATTGTTAGGTTGACAGAGAATTCATTGGTTTTCACACTTAACATGATTTAATGGATTATAGTGTTTCCTTGTACTTATTCAACTTCCAAATATTTTCACTGTGTCCTTTATGTATAAGCTTAAGATGTCAAATTCTTCCTGACTGGAATGATGACAAATATGGTTTCTTTTCTTTTGATTCAGGAATGAGCCTGTGGGACCGTGTAAAAGCTTATGAAGTTGCCAGTGCTGCTCTTCTGAATGGAGACCTTGGGACCCTAGGGAAGAACAGTGACTCAGAGGTCAGTGTCCTCCCGCCCCTCTGCTTTAAGACTGCTGGAGTTGTAATGGAATGTTAAGTGCATCCTTTATTCAAGTTTTATATTTACCCACTTTAATGTGAACTTTATTCTCGTATAATGAAAGCTTTATTCTTAAGAAGATAAAATGAACCCAATTTTGCTGTGGTAGCTGTAATAAGTGACCCAGCATTATTTACATCCATTGAAAGATACTTTTCAAACAAACATGAAGGATTACATTATCAAATATACATGTTCCATGTTCAATGAACTTGAATGATCGTCATTTTTATATTTATATCTGTTTAATCAGTATTGCAGTTCTTCAATTGATCAGTAGTAGAAATGTTTTCATACACCTGAAAAAAATTTATAGTAAGTTTTAGTGCCATCTAAACTTTGTTTGCTTTGACATGTTTGAGTTGCATCTTTTGTAATGGGAGAGAATAAAGTAATTTAAATATTATTGATGAAATCTAATATTTCAGTAAGTTTCACCTATCAAATTGACATGGCTTTCCTATTTCAGAGCTTGTAAAAAGAGTTGCAAAATGATAAAATCTATAGAAATATGAGCTCTTTGGAGAGATGAGACAGATGGTTTTGTCCTTGTGTTATTGCATCTATTTTTAGATCATTTTTCATGATAGAGAACAGATTTTTTTAAAGAATATTTGAAATTGTCAGCATCCTAGGTGGTTTGCAGGAATGACTGCAGAAGGCCACCTTTGTATTAGTAACGATAGGATGATTTACATCATGCATTTATTTTCAACAGGGCTGCATTTGAAACTGAGTATTAGGAAAGGTTGATGGCTTGACCAAGGAGGCCAATGCCAAATCTGCACTTAAATTTTTTTTTCTATGTCTCGGAGATTGTTGTGAATTGAATATACAAAAGACAAGTCAAGCACGGTGGTACTCATGTTGTGTCCTGGGAGGAAATATTAAGTTAGTAAAGAAATTCTCATCAGGTTTATTAATCAGCAAAATTATGAGCAATTATAATAGATGCAGAAAAGAAGAGTATGTTGTTTGATAAAATGTATGTTGACTTAAATATTTCTAGGTATTTATAATATCAAAATATGGAACAATCTAAAATTTCTTGGGTAACATAAGCCATTATGGGGACCTCCACAGGGGATGGAGATGCCAGAGTTAGCAAACAAAATCTGCCTGGTTAAATTTGAATTTCAGATAAATAATGAATATTATTTTTAGTATTAATATATCCTATATAACATTTGGGACATACTTATACTAAAAAGGTACCTATGTCCCAGTATTGTTTATAAAAATGCAGATTTGATTGAATGAACTATTTTTTTCCATTGAGTTTATTGATACATTTAAAGCAAAAACTACAGTCCATTTATCATTGGGACTTCCACCTTTACATGATATGTCTTGGTTCTTGTTTTTCCCCCATATGCCTGCCCTCCCTTCATGACCTTCACCATTCCGTATTTCCAAATACTTTGTTTCCATTTTTTTCATTTTTTCACATTTTTTCTTTACCTTATTTCCCTTCCCCTTCCCTTCCCACTTCTCCTTTAGCCATTTTTTTTCCTATTTCACACTCCCAATTATACCATTTGAACCTTATTTACACTTTTAGTTTTTTATACCAAAGAAACTATTTGGTATTTACTCATGTGGCCTCTTTATTTCACTTGAGTATGGCCTCAATATGCATCCATTTAGTTATACATGTCTCTTTCTCATTCTTTATGGCTGAGTAGTTCTCCATTTTATAGAAAAACCACATGTTCTTTATCCAGCCTCCAGTTGATGCGCACTTGGATTGTTTCCAAGTTTTAGCTATTGTGAACTATGCCACTATAAACATGAGTGTGCATATATCACTGTGGTATGTTTTTTTAAAATACTTTTGGAAAGATACCTAGCAGAGGGATAGCTGGGTCAAATGGGACCTCTAACCCTAGTTCTTTGAGGTATCTCCATATTGATTTCTACAGTGGTTGCACCAGTCTGCACTGTCACCAACAGTGGAGAAGGGTTCCTTTCTTCCTGCATCCCTGCCAGCATTTGTTATTGGTTGATTTCTTGATAGCAGCCATTCTTTCTGATGTAAGGTGGCATCATAGTGTTGTTTTCATCTGCATTTCTCGAATGACCAGTGATATTGAACATTTTTTTTATATATTTATTTGCTACTTTTACTTCTTTGTCTGAGAAACGTCTGTTCATTTCAGATGCCCATTTTTGAATTGGGTCTTTATATTTGGGGGTCTGATTTTTTGAGTTCTCTGTGTATTCTATATAGTAATCCTTTGTTTGAGGAGTAGCTGGTAAATTTTTTTCCCTACAGTTTATTTTGTCTCTTAGCTCTATTGGTGATTTCTCTTGCACTGCAGAAACTTTTTAATTCAATGAGATGCCAGTTTATTCTTTGTGCAAGTTCTCGTGCTGCTGAGGATTTGTTCATATAGTCTTCTCCTATGCCAATGTCTTTAAGAATTCTACCTAATTTACTTTCCAGTAAGTTTAGTGTTTCTGTCTTGATATTTAGATCTTTAATCTACTTGGATTTTAGTGTAGTGCATGATGAAAAATGGGGATCTAGGTTTAATCTTTGGCAAGTTGAAAGTCAGTTTTTCCAATGCCATTTTTTTCTTTTTTATTGAGGTTATTGGTACAATCTAGGTATACAATACAGTTACATTCATCATTGGGATTCTGTACCTTTACATAATAGGTCTTGATTCTCATTTTTCCCCTTGTCCCTGCCCTCCCTTCACCCCCTCCTCCCCTCCCCATTTACAAACACTTTATTTCCATTTTTTCAGTTTCTCATATTTTTTTCCTCTCCCTTATTACCTTTACCCTACCCTTCCCACTTTCCTTACACCTTTAGCCCTTTACTTCCTATTTCACATTATTAATTGTCTCATTAGGAGCCTGTGTACTATTATAGTTTTTCAATGCCATTTATTAAACAGGCTGTCTATCCTCCAGTGAGGATGATTGGCTCCTTTGTCAAGGATGCGGTAGCTGAGTACATCTGGAGTTGTTTCTGCATCTTCTAATCTATTCCACTGATCCTTGGGTCTGTTTCTTTTCCAGTACCATGCTGTTTTTATCATAGTGGCTTTGTAGTATAGTTCCAAGTTGGGAATTGTGATACCCTCTTCCACGTCTGTGTTGCCTAGAATGGTTTTTGCTCTTCTAGGTCTCTTCTGGTTCCAAATAAATTTTTGGCTTGTTTTCTCAAATTCTGTGAAATATACTGTTGGGATTTCAATCTGGATTGCATTGAATCTGTATAGAAGTTTTGGAAGTATGGCCATTTTCACTATGTTGCTTCTTCCTACCCAGGAGCAAGGGATGTCTTTCCATCTTCTTATAACCTCTTCTATCACTTTTTTTGGAGTACTGTAATTTTCAGTGTAGAGGTCTTCTGTTTCCTTTATTAAATTAATTCCTAGATATTTATTTTTTGGGGGGATGTTATTGTGAAAGGAATTATTTCCCAAATTTCTCTCTCAGTGAGTCTGTTATTTGTGTACAAGAAGGCTGTTGAGTTTTGAGTGTTGACTTTGTATCCTGCTACTCTACTGAACCTGTCAATTATGTCTAGCAGTCTTTTGGCAGAGTTTTTTGGATCTTCTATCTAGAATATCATCTCATGAGCAAATAGTGACAGTTTAACTTTTTCCTTTCCTATCTTTATTCCTTTTATTTCTTTCTCTTGTCTAATTGCTATGGCTAATATAGAACTATATAGTTTCTAGAATTATATTGAACAGGAGTGGCAACAGTGGAAATACTGGTCTTGCTTCTAATTTCAGCGTGAAGTTTTTGAGTTTTTGACCATTTAGAATGATATTGGCTGTTGGTTTTTCATAGATAGCCTTTATCAGGTTGAGATAAAGACTATCTATTCCAATTTTCTGTAGGCTTTTTACTATGTATGGGTGTTGAATTTTGTCAAATGCTTTTTCTGCATCTATTGAGATAATCATATGATTTTTGTCCTTTATTCTATTAATATAGTGTATTACATTTATTGATTTACATATGTTGAATCATCCTTGCATTCCTGGGATAAATCTGACATGGTCAGGATGTATAATCTTCTTGATGACCCTCTATATTCTGTTTGCCAGTATCTTATTGAGGATTTTTGCATCGAAGTTCATGAGGATTTTGGCCTGTAGTTCTCTTTTTTGGTTCGGTCTTTCCCTGGTTTTGGAATCAAAGTAATACTTGCTTCCAGGAATAAATTTGGAAGTACTGCTTCCCTTTCAATTTCATTGAAGAGTTTAAAGAATAGTGGCCATAGTTCTTCTCTAAATGTCTTGTAGAATTCATTAGTGAAGCCATCAGGGCCTAGGCTTTTCTTTGTTGGTAATGTTTTAATTACATTTTCAATTTTGCTGAATGTAATTGGGGTGTTTAGACTTTTTATACTCATATGAACTTTGGAAGTTCATATGTATTTAGAAATCTGTCCATTTCTTCTGTATTTTCCATTTTATTTGAGTATAGGTTTTCAAAGTAGGTATTGATGATCATCTGGATTTCTGCTGGATCTTTTGTGATTTCACCTTTTTCATTCCTAATTGCATGAATTTGAACCTTTTCTTTCCTTGTTTTGATAAGGTTGGCTAAGGGTTTATCAATTTTATTTATTCTTTTAAAAAACCAACTCTTTGATTCATTGATTTTTTTGTATAGTTCTCTTAGGCTCAATTTCATTAATTTCTGCTCTAATCTTTATAATTTCCTCCCTTGTACAAGCTTTCAGATTGTCTTGCTCTTCTTTTTCTAGAAGCTTAATGTTAAGCATTAGGTTGTTTATTTGAGCTTGCTGTTTTCCTAGTATGGGCATTTACTGCTATGAATTTCCCTCATAGAACTTCTTTCATTGTGTCCCATAGATTCCTGTATGTTGTATTGGAATTATGATTTAATTGTAGAAGCTGTATAATTTATTCTTTAATTTCCTCTGTGACCCAATGGCTGTTCAGCAG